TGTGTGTATATATATATATATATATATATATATATATATATATATATATATATATATATCTTACACCTTTATAAAGCATACATATATTGGACCCCACTAATTTTTAAGACTTTATCTTAAAAAACAAGGAGATTGATTAATGGTCGTTGGATTTTTGATGGATGGTATAGATTCAAAGTTACATGATCCGTGTGAAATAGAATGATCCAATCAAAATCTAATTCAATTCTTTAACCCTACATATAAATGTCATCGGCCATCATGAGTATTATAGCCACAAAACCATCAAACTTCATCAGCATCCTCCTCCTCTCTCTAACCTTATACGTGCCTTCTCATCAACCCTAATCACCGCCACAAAAACACTGCCACCACCCAAAGAGAAACACATCATCGGTTCCACATTCTTACGCCGCTTTTTCTTCTCCAAAACGCTTTGACCTTACTATTTACAAACCCTAAGACCCTAAGAAGTTCATCCATCTCCGCCACCTATTTCACACAGTAGTGCCAGCTGCGAGCCACCCTCAGTGAACCACCTGCATGACAACCCCAACGCATCGCAAGGGAGTTACATTCACCACAACCACCCTTACCATCGACACATCCGCTGAGCACCAATAGCTTTCAATATCATCATTAAACCATAGATGTATATTGTCGTTTCCGCCATCAACGTTCTTTACCACTGCCTCCGGCGACGCAACTGTTGAACACTACCAATACCTGGCGGCACCAAGAAATCCTAAATGTATACTTCCGCCACCACCATCAGTCTCAGATACTTGCTCTATCTTCCGAAGTCACTTGTGGGTTTGATAAAAAAATACAAATAAATATATGGCTGTTTTGAAACAAATTTATGTTAGATCGATAATATTTAGGCAGTGGTGTTTGTTTCTTTACAGATCTTGAAACAAATATGTGTTAGATCTGTTTTAAGATAAAAAAACATCCTCATTTTCAGTGTGTAAATATGTCTTGATCCATATAGAGATCCATGTGTGTACGTTATTTATATGTGCAAGCTACAAATCTGTTTGTTTATTGTATATATGTAATTTGTCTTTTGATTATGTACTAGAATGATATGTGAGATACATTTAGATGAGATCTGAGAAAAGAAATGAAGGTCCGGTTCTCCCATTTTTTCTGATTTTTAGTCAGTATTTTGAACATTGTGATAGGGAGAGTACATGTAAATAGAGAGAGAGAGGGTGTAATTTGTTTTATATAATGGAGAATGTCATTAGATTTATTTTAATATTTTATCAAGAAAATGACAGAAGGTTTGATTTTTGTGAGTTTTCTTTAAAAGTAATTTAGAAAATGTGGTTGTTTCCATTACAGTATATATGTTGTATTGTAATGAGCTTCATCTTAGTTAAGTATGGTCTATGAGCTTCATTTTTGTTCTAGGTTTTATTTTTCTTGGATTTTTCCTTAGTAAAATCGATTTAATGTTTTTACCCTTCACTTTTCAACTTTTAAACAACCTTAAAAGGAATACATCAGTTCTAATGCTCCAACTTTGAACAAATTATATGCAAAGGCAAAAATTTCTTATATTCTTGGTGCTCAGAAAAGCTCCATCAACTTATGATTAAGTTTAATATAAACTTGGATTCGGGTTTGGTATGTTTATTTTTTTTATGGTAAATCTGTATTTTGGTTATCCATTTGTTATATGATCTTTTGTTGAATTTCTCTTTGTTTGTGTATGAGCAACTATTTGCAGATTATCTCTGTCAAGAGATTTGATGGTCACAATAAAATTGGTGAAATCTTTGTGTTTATTTGTGTGCTTTATTTTACTTTAAATGTCCCAGATCTATAATTTTTCTTTGTCATTTATTTCTGTATTTCTTTTTTTGGTTATGACTAGACTTTTGTCTATTTTGAAGGTGAAGGAGGCATGGATTCTGAAATTTAGGTTTGTGATTATTCGTGTCGAATTGAAATGATATATTTGATACCTCACTTAACAAAAAGTCACCTAATGCTTTTGAACCCTTCATCTTTTTTTTTTTAAATGTTTCATCCTTGCAAATGGTTTAGAATTGTAGTTCATGAAATTTTTATCCCTGGTTTTTGTTTTTATTTTTAGTTTATTTGGGATTTTTTTCTTATTAGCATGTATATTTTTGTGATTATTTTACCATGTAGTATTATTTAATTATAGGAACTTAATCTACTCCGAAGATTAAGAACTGAAGTTGGTTGATATGGATTATGGTGTAAAATTCATTTTTGTTAGTAAATTTATAATTTATCATTTACTGTTTATGTTCATCTTTTAGTAAACCTAGAACAAATCAATTAGTCAATACACTTGAGTTTTCTGTTAATGTGAAGAAAGCACTTTTATGCAAAACACTATCATTTCAGAAGGACAATCATTCGTGTCATTCCATATGCTAACTATGAAATTTGTTTGAAGATCTTAAAAGGGTATTTATTATGTCAAAACAATTTATGCTCATTCTCTTTTTTTGTTAACTTGTGTTGGGAACAAAAATCTTGAATCAAAGTTAGACACTTCATATAACATCAACCACCAAACTTGTGATGAATAAAAGTGAGACACCTTACATTGAACTACGAGCATTACTTCTTTTTTGTATTTTGGTAAGAAACAATGTTTGATTTGCAATGAATGGATAGTTATAAAGATTCAAAAACACATTACTGTTGTGTGTTTCAAATTGTTATACTTGGTTGCCATTATTGGTTTTGGTGCTGTTTTTTAGCTTAGTATATACATGTATTGGTATCTTTTTACTTAATGTCTCAATTAGATTTCATTCATGTAGGGTTTGTGATGTCATTAATGGTGCACTGTGCACATGTGGTTTCGTTCACGTTAAATATTAGTGCTAAATACCCAAATAAACGAATCAATCAGATTTTGATGGCTTATGTAAAAATGAAAAAATAATGTGATTTAATATGTGATATATGATATTATTATCAGTATTTATATACTTTTATGAATAAAGAATGTTGACCTAAAATAGTTTTAAAGAAATTCAATAAAGAATATATAACAAAAAGTTAATTAAATCTTCCTTACTTTTTTATAATATTTAAATTTAAGAATTATTTAAAATACAAGCAAATATTAAAAAGAAAAAAAGACAACTTCAACAAAATAAGCATAAATTGTTTATTTTGACAATCAATTGTTTAAATAAAGTTCATTGAAAATAAAGTTCATTTCAATCTAATTATTGAACCTTATAATCAAAACGGTATAAAGATATAAATAAGAATTTATTTATAATTTGTTTGGAAATGTGATGTCTTGGAAATAGAATAGAAGTTGTATCATATCTTTTATATTGCATTACAATTTATAAAATACTATTACAGTTATATATGTATAAAACAATAATAAAAATAGCGAATATAAAGGTTGTATCGCATCTTTTATATTGTGTCACCATTTATAATATACTATTAACATTATATGCATAATACAACAATAAAAATATTAAACCATAAATTTAATAAATAAATTTGAACTATTCATAAAATGAACATGAATATAATATTACTAATTTTACGCCAATAATTCTATATATAGTTTTCTATATATTTCATATTATTTATAAGAAACTTATATCGACATATAAGTGTTCGGTTCATACTTCACTGAAAGGAAACGATGTGACGGCCCCAAAACGAAACAATTTTTTGGAAGGAAACTAATCGTCGGAACGAAACAAATCGTCGCCGCCGTATCGTGCGGATATCCTACTAGTAAAGTAGAATGGAGGATGTGGCAAGTAGCAACCTATTTTTTTCTATGAATGGAGAGATTTTTATAAAGCTGACACAACTAAAAACAGCAAAGAAAAACAAAGTGTACCCAACCAATCTATATATTGATGTCCCTCCTAAAGTCCAATCGGTACCCAAAGAATGCGAGAGAAATAATTACATCAAAGAAATAGCAATCTTATGTACCCGGTTTAATTTGCCTCTCCTAAACCTATGGTTGACCCAAGGGTAACAATCTTATTAAAAAAAATGTTTATTTATTTATTTATTTTTTGTATTACTACCAAGCAAAAAAGAATTTTTGAACAACAAATTTGGAAAAGTTTAATAGATTACAATTACCTTAAGAAGTTTGTCCCGATTCTATTTTTAATCATACGGATGACGAGAGAATTTATATTTGTGTACTAAAAAAATAATATAACTAGAGAATTCATGTTTAGAGAATTCATGTTTTCTGCACAAAAAGAAATAAAAAAAAATGAGTCTGCCTATCATATTCCACTTGTTGGGTGGGATCAAGATTGTAAAATCCCATTTCGGGGAATTTGTACAGTTCTTTTGGCGTGATATTTGATGGATTTTATCGTGGCGACATAATTGTAGTTTCCTCTCCTATTTAACACACTAAATATTTATAAACGAAATCTTCTAAAACCTTTAAAAAAAAACGATTGCAACGTTGATTGTTGCACATGAAAGGACTCCACACGTCAAATTTTCTATGGGTATATTGGATGATAAGAACATTCATATTTTTGTACAAACAAAAAGTAAAAAAGGAGTGATTGCCCCCACCTTGTTCTGCCTTTTATGGTCAAAGAAAATATAACAATTTGGTATAACTAACATCATCTTAATTTTAATTCAATATATGTCAAAGGCATTTACAACATCATGATGAATCAAACTATAAAACCCCAAAACATATTATACCTATGGTGCCCGAAATAATTATGCATCCTTAAGTTCTACCTTCTTGATACGTACACAAACACATCCATACAATGTGTACGTAGAAACACATCACATGTACATACACACACTAAACTCTTTATGTCTAAAGCAGAAATGACAAATCTGCTTCTTGATGCTTGACTCACGGTTAAAAAGTTTCCAGTTGCTTCAGATTTGGTCATTTCTACTAGATCTTTAAAAACATAGCCTTTTTATTTTAATATTAAACATATTATAACGGTGGTTCATGGTGGATTTATCTACCAAGGTCCTGTCATCGTTCTTCGTAAGCATAATTTTCCACCTCCACAGAACTTCATATTTTCCGATATCTGCCAAAAACGCATAACGCTAATCATATCCACTGGCCACAGAAGGTTTTAAATGCTAAAACAAAATAAAAAAATTATATGGTTTTAAACGTAATAATAGGCGACGACTACTATATTAAACTTCGAAAATGGATTTTTTTTATGCATGATACCTACAAAACTACAACTACGTACCTGAAAACTCTGTAACTCGATGACTTCTTCCTAAATACAACAAGAAAACAAGTTACAAGAAAGATTCAGAACCGTTCTATAATAGGTTATTCTTCTTGCAGTCGGCGTCACTTGCATGCTACTAGGTAGCTAACATATATAGGGACAAGAACCGAACTCTCGCTTGTTTCTAATGAACATTTTTTTACGAGAGATACCTGCTTTTTTTGCAACTCTTCTTTGAGGTGTGCAATTTCTGATTCCAATTCCATCGTATACGCCTATTAGAACCATTAATACATGAATGCATAAACATAGAAAGATTATTTTACACAAGACAAAAGAAGATGAATATTCATGAAGTTGACCTGTTTTCGAGCCCTTGACCTTGCAGCAGATTCTCTGTTATTAATCATCCTCTTCTCCCTTCTCTCCACCCTTCTCTCCAACGTATCATTCTTTTTCCTTTTGCGGCCACCACCATAACACAGTGGTGGTGATGGAGATGTATCCAAATTACCATTTTGGTAAAAATCCAATGGATAACCAGCCTTTATGGGATGATCAGTCTTTCCATTTATCGAAACTCCATTTTCAAGACTACCCATCTGAGCATTATTCACTAAATTCACTGAAGAGTTGGAGTTGAAAGAAGCTAGTTTCGGGAGAACCTTCTGTGGTTTTGATAGTTTTGAAGATGTAGCACCCTGCAAAATGTCAACTTCATTTCTACTCTCTGGAAAGAATTCTTCTTGGTGAAACCCTTGATTCTGAATCATGTTTTTGTACCCTTGAGTTTGGTTATTTTCCGAAACTGCCCCTGCCCTCTTCAAGAATTCCTCGAGTGTCATTTCACCGAAAGTTGGTTGCTTTTCTTGTGGCTGAAAACTTGGTTCTTTGACCAAATCCGCATCTTTGCATCCACCATTTTCTTTAACCAAATCTCTCCAAACTTCATCCACTGTTTTCTGGCAAATGGTTCTTGATAAAGTCAAAGATTCTTGCTTTTGTAAATTCACATTTATGTCCAAATTGAAGTTTGATGTCATTGATTGAATCTCTTCAGTAGTCCCGATGTTCTTCAAAAGTTCATCCATGTTCATTGATCCGAAATCCTTCCCAGATCCACCCAATGTGTTTTGTAGTTCATCCAAAGTCAATGCATATATGGAAGATTGCTTGAGCAATGGCGAATTTGCCGTTGGACTACAGTTCTTAGAATTGATAAATGAATTCATTGCTCACATCATTCAGTACCTATCAATAATAAAGTTTTTTTCAATTGTTTCTTGAGATATAACAAATGCAAAATTCGTGAAATAAATTTAAATGCAGGCATGAGGGTATTGCAGTAAACTTTATTGATATCTTTACATTAGATTAAGACTCAAAATCATATCTTCACCTAGTAAAGTGTCATTCAGAGGGTATTTTTTTTAAACTCTTTAATCATGCATGGGGATGGAATATTTGATTGTAGTCACGTCTACAACCATTTTCAGGGATAAATCTTGATAAGTATGTACAAGTTCCTCTCCATGACATACAAATCATTGAAGCACAGTGGCACTGGGAAAAAATAAATTACCATATACTTTATTCGTTAAGCAAGAAGCCATGTCATTTAATTTCATGTTTCCTCTATCCCATTCAACATTCAAGAAACAATTCCAAATCATTAGATATATATGATTAAAATGGCTAAGTTACCTCGAATTTCCAACATAGTCCATGAAAAGTACATAAAACATTCACATACAATAAATCATAAAAATTTAAAAGAAGCAACACATACACCAAGATCTCAATTTCAATCAAGAATGAGCTAAACACTATCCAGGGACATGATTACCACTAAACTTCCTCGGTAAAGTATAAATATCATCAACAATAATTATAGTAAGAAACCAAAAGAAAATTCAAAGATCCATATCCATGAAAACCCACAAAGATTTGAGGCAAGAAGATCAATTGGTAAATATAAAAGGTAAAAAAATCAAATCTTTATTAGGGAAACATGCAAGGACAACCAGGTTGAAGGAAAATATCTTGAGGAAATATAAAAATTTTTATGAGACGATTTTACCCTTTTAGAAGGAGATGAGCATCGTGTCGTTTCCTGTCTTCTTTTTTGGAGTGGAACTATGGATGAGATGACAAGTGTCTTGTGCTCATTCCACTCTTTCAGAGTCTTGCATTTAAAGGATTTGAGGCTCACCTATTCCTTTCTACTTTTAGAGATTTATGGGAAATTTCATTTAAGGGTATATTTAGATAAACATCCCTTTCAACTTTTAATATTATTGCAAAGTCTATGTTTATAATTAAATATCATTAATATTAATATTAATATTAGTTTATATTTTATAGATTATGTACAAATAAAAAGACAAATCAAGTAATCTAACCATTTTTTGGTATATTTTTTGAAAAAAGTAACATCTATAAATTATTTTTTGCAAAATAACCATTGTTTCTGGAATAGGCCAATTCGGAGTCCAATTCAGACTAAGAAGTTGGGCCGACGCATCAAAGATCTTCCGGAATTCCTATTCCGGACTAATACAACTTATTCTAGATATCGATTTAAAAAACCATTTTCCAGGTTTTATTACGACATATTCCGGATCTCAATTTAAAAACCCATTTTGAAACATTTCGGGCGCTACTACACATTTCAGACTTCAGATATGGAACACGATCATGATATATTTTAAGGGTAAGTCCTTTACTTTTACACTTTAGTAGTTTGATTTTAAGATTTTCATTTTAGTAACTTAGTCCGGAATACGAAGAACATCTCTGGAAAGCACAGAACACAGACGTTCTGGAATAGCAATACATGTGGAAATTACATTAGGACCAACCCACAACTAGTTTAATTATTTATATTTTAAGATTTTCTTTTTAGTAACTTAGTCCGGAATAATTTTATTTGATGATTACTTAATTCTAACATTTTGTGCAACTTTACATCCCTCTCAATATACCGAGTGCTCATTGGTCTTTGTGTGTTTTGGATTTCAAGACAATTTGACAGTATAGGGGATTATGAGGTGTTTTTGTGTTGGTTCATAGAAATGTTGATCGCGGTGAAATCATACACGATAGAGGGTTCAACTAAAGAATGAGTCATATCATATCGCAAGTGATTGGCAGAAATGTTTTGGGGTATGAAGAAAAAACAGGGATTCTATTCGAACGTTATAACATTATTTAAAAGCATATTTAATTTTATGTAATTATTACTTAGATTTATAGATTTCAATATCTATTATTTTTGGCAATAAACAAAACAGCAACAAAAAAGAAAATTACTTTCAGAACGCTTCTCCGGAATACTACTGCAGCATCCCGGAAGTCGTTCCAGAATGACCTGTTTCGGTCAAACTAGTCATTTTCCAAAAAAATATAAAAGTTGGTTATTTTTTTCAAAAAGATGATTTATATGAGTTAAATTACTTAATTTTCCAAAAACATGTATTATTAAATTTACACTTATCATTCACATAAAAAAACATACACTAATTCATGATGTACATCAAACAATCAAAGGTACATATAAAATAACTCAAAAAACATTATATATCAGCTCATAATAAGTAGGATAGGCAATAAAACTAAATAATATTTTTATAACATGTATTTTTAATTAATTAATTAATTAATTAATTATTTATTTATTTATTCATTAATTGTTATCTATGACTTTATGATGTAGACATTTGTTTTACATAATGTGTACCGTATTTAGCATCATCCTGAAAATATGTATACACTTGAATAAAGAAAGTGACATGAAGGTCGACAAATGATTGCGATGGCGATGTCGGCAGATGTATAACAACGAGTAAACGACACTACACCAAATACTACACCAAATGAATAAATGATCCTCCCATTCGGTTTTGCATACACACAAATATCTGATTTTAGTGCCAAATAAGATATTTTATGATATTTCTAAGCTTTAAAGACAAGAACCAAAAGGAATATCATAAGTGGTGTTTGCGCTCGTACGGTCTAGCTACTTTAAGAAAATAATGAACACAGGCACCCTTAAAAAAGACAAAACTACTAAATTAATTAAAAATTTTCAAAGAATTAAATAAAAATTAATATTTTTAACTTTATACATTTGGCCACTGAATTTTTTCCGTTCATATTTGTCCTTCAACTTCTTTAACTTTACACATTAAGTCCTTATGACCGGCTACTCCAGGTAGCCCGGAAAAAATGACTTAATAGGGTAATATATTTCTCACTTTATACACATTTAGTCATTAATATTTTTTTGTACATTTAGTCATTAATATTTTTTTGTTGCAAAATAAATCATTATTGTTTTTTTATACATTCAGTGCTTATGACCGAGTTTTTAAAGTTTTTTCACAGTATCGTACGTGGGATAATCATTAATGATGTGTTTGGGCTATTGATACTTATAGTCACCGCGTCTTCGGCTGCTTGGTCGCTTATGTATTGTGGTTTGAGTTAGGTATTGTGTTCTGAACATCGTAATTCTTCATGTGAACTCGGTTTTAACGATCTTTATATCCATGCGTTCGTATTTAAGTGTACAACAACTTTCGTTTAGATTACTCCCGTTAAAAAGTAATATATTCGTACTTATGATCTTTATATACATGTGTTCTTTAAAAATGTATGTATGAACGTTTTAAAAAAAAACAAACTGTAAGTAAAAAATATATTACTTTTTAACGGGAGTAATCTAAAAGAAAATTATAGTAGGCTCAAATACGAACGTGTGCATATACAAATCGTTAAAATCCGATATCGTATGCATGAGTTACGACGTTCAAAACACAAGACCTAAGCAAAATCACAAGACCTAAGCAACCAAGCAACCAAGGTCGCAGTGGACATAAGCATCATCAGCCTTGAACACCTTATTAACGATTGTCCCGCATAGGATAACGTTAGAAAACTGAAAGAAACCGGTCATAAGTTGTCACACCCCCTGCCGACGTCGGAAACACCAAGCGACGTGACATTAGGATGTTAAATCACAAATTAAGATTACACATACCTTCTATAAAATAAATATCACTTCCATTTACCAAATGTTGAATTACATAAAGACTTTAAATTTATTACATTGAGTTTAATCTAGGTAAGTATGCTTCTTGGTAGACTGTTACTCACTTCTTAGCCATTGTTGTAAGATCTTTTGTTTCCATTGGTGACATAGGAATACATGTGGTTTGAAAGTTCAACATAATGTTGGTATAACATCCCAAAAATTCATGACCAAAAATTTCATTTTTAATTAAGTAATTTATAAAAACGATATTCTGAAAACATCGACAATGTCATCCCATATCATAATCAATATGTCAAATATCAAAAACATGTCATAGAAAAGTAATATCAGAGTACAACTCCCAAAGATCTCATGTGCGGAAAAACCATAGTGTGATGCGATGCGATCATGCCGACTCCTTTCCTTTCGAAGAAGAAGTACCTGAAACCAAAACTGAAAATCGTAAGCACAAAGCTTAGTGAGTTACCCCATCATACTACATACCATATAACAAATACACTGCCAAGCATATCTAGGTGTTGGCCTCCCCTTCGGTCTGTTTCAACCGAATACTGCTGAGCATATTTGGGTGCTGGCCTCCCCTTCGGTCTATTTCAACCGGATATTGCCGAGCATATCTGGGTACTGGCCTCCCCTTCGGTCTATTCCGATCGGATACTGCCGAGCATATCTGGGTGCTGGCCTCCTCTTCGGTCTATTCCAATCGGATACTGCCGATCATATCTGGGTGCTGGCCTCCCCTTCGGTCTATTCCAACCGGATACTGGGCCTATCCCACCCCTACCACTACCACATAATAACATAGCAAATAAGCACATAAATCATAACATATAGTGGCATACCATACAAATATCGCAAAGACAATCATCTCTACTATAAAAAACTACTAGTGGGTCGACATTGGTGCCTTCAACCCACTCATACAGGGAAGGTAACTCACCTCGATCCACTGCAATCTGATAACACTCGGCTGCCGAACCGGAAATCCCACACTAACAACAAATAAATCCCAATTAATAATTATGCCATAACCCATTAACCGCGACCTCAACTCATAAGTCCGGACTCCTAGGGTAAAAGACCATTTTACCCTTTCCTGAATGGGTCCAAACCAAACTTGGCCCAAGTCCCACTAATGGCCCAACAACACAACTCGAGGCCCAAACAGAACCT